GCCGCTGCCGCCGCCGCCGCCGCTGCCGCCGCCGCCGCGTCCAGCCTGGAGCTTCGCGAGTTACGCCGCCACAATTACAAAGCTGCCGTGCTGCCCAACAAATCTGCGTCGTACCTGGAACACCGGCGCACAAGGAGCAGCCGGGGTATGAACATGGGGCAGAAGATATCTGGTACGGAAAGCGCTCGCGGTCATTATGGGGTGTACGTTGCACTGATAAGCCCGAATTTGTTAATTAATGTTGCGCTGATAAACCCGAATTTGTTAATTACCGTTGCCGATAAGCACGGGAAATTATTTTCAGTTACCCGCTCAAGGGCAGGGAGTTTTGTAGTAGAAAGGTGCAAACAGTCAAAAGGAGAGTACAGAGATTATTGGATTTTATTCTTGAATGATGACACGACTCTGAAATAAATTGTTAATAAAGCCAACACCAAAAAAATATTTATCACTATGGAGGGTTCACATTTCTCTCCATTGGAATGGAATTAGTTTTTGACCTATGACACTTATGTATTTTAAAGTGTGCACATCAAAGTTTCACTCTATAGTTTTTTCCTTTGAATTTCTTTAAATATTTAATGCAAACTTCTTTAGTAATTTTTGTAGCAAAAGCTCTATTTTACCTCCATACATGTTATTTCTCTTCTTCCATATCACATTTTTCCTTAACCTTCCTTTTATCTCTTCTCTGGTGTACTGTCACCCAACGTTATTTTATTTTCACAAAAGTCAAAAGTCAAAAGCTGTGGGCAATAACCTGAAAATACAATTATTGAGTTCGGAAATAAATGTCTAGGTCTGCACTTGAAATGCAATATAAATATTCTAAAAGGTCATCCAATGGTGCTAATTGTTTGAGAAGTATTAAAATTTATCATACCAAGAGATTTTTCATAATTAGTGGGGAAAAAAAAATATTTTTGCAAAAAAATAAAATCTTCTTTCTAAGCAGATTCATTAGCAAAATCACAATAGAAGCACTTACTCTTAATTTCATTTATTAATTTCTATGTGTATCTATTAAAAATAAAGACCAAAATGTTTTTAATAATCAATACCTAATTAAAAATTTTATGACAGAGAATCAGATTATCTCAAAGCTGCTATTAACAGCAATAATGTCTTAACATATCAAAACAAATGGGACACTATTCTTCTACTTATCTAATTTCCTTCTAGCTTTTTTCAAATATGTCGATTCCTGAAATAACAAGAAAAAATATGAAATTCCATAGACAAATTAATTAATAGTAATTGCTTCCTGTAAATTGTATTATTTTCCTACAAGAAATAGAAAATTTCAACAAAAATTTGAAGTGTCAATTGGAGAAAACATAACTTGAAATATATTTTGCAAATAGTTGCATTGTCTCAGGTTGTAACTTGGACTTCGACCAAAGCTGTTTTGTGTGTGTGACTTAGCACAAATTTGTTAGTGTGTATGTATGTATTGGTGGGTGCATGTGCGTGTGCATATGCATGTGTGCATGTGAGAAGTTTAAGGCTGAATGAGAGTAACAGGAACACTATACATTATTTTCAAATTATCATCTTGTGATGACAGCAGTTTACAGTATGAAGATTTGGTTGCACATAATTAACAACATAAAAATATTATCACAATCAAAATTTTATCTATAATTTATCTATAACAGTATGATGATGATGATAATGATAATGATAATGATAATAGTGATAATAGCAATGATAGTAATAATAGTAATAATAGCAATAATAGTAATAATAATAAAAATAGTAATAATAAAAATAAAAATAGTAATAATAATAATTACATGAAATTCGAGATGCAGTCAGTAATATAGATAATAATGAAAATCAGTAATAATAATAGTAATAATAATAATAAATAATTTATTTCCAGAAAGAATTACATGGACAGTACCAAAAACCATCACCATTAAAAAACAAATAAGAAAAGAATATCAATTCTTGGTTCGACTACTTTACATACATTATTACATCCTGTTTAAACCTTTCGGTATTGACATTCTGGTCTTATCGAGGGCTTTAAATTTTTAAATTTTAATATATTAATTACATTTATTACATTTATTTCACCTTATTCAGTACACTCAAAACCCTCTCTAAGTACTTCATTACTTTGTCAGAGAGGGGTGTGTTACATGTACGCTTGTTTTGCTTCTGTTTTTTTTTCATTTCTATATCTTCTTTGTATTACCGGTTTAGAGTTGATTATAGTTCACTCATCATCAGTACTGTTTGACGTGAATTGTTTTTATTGGAATTTTTCCAATAAATTGAATGAATTGTTTTTATTCCAATGAATTGTTTTTATTGGAATTTTTTATTGGATTTTTTCCATGAAAACTCAACAGGCAGAAAGAAACAAAATCATCCAATTATCTAGAATAACAAATAAATTGTAAATAAATAAAAAAATGTGTTAGTTGGCAACTGGTTAATATGAAAACTAAGTTATACTTCATTTCCGTTTTGAAAATTTGTAGTGACAAATCAACAAGCAAAATGAAATAAAATTATTATCTTAATTAACAAATCAGGAAACAA